CACACACACACACACACACACACACACACACACACACACACACAACCAGTCAGACCAAATTGATGCTTAAATGCCCTAAAACAATTTAGGGCTCTAAGTCCTTAAGCAGGTAATGAGAGGTCATAGAAAAATGTGAGTGGTGGGAACATGAGGTTAAGGGGAGATTCTATAAACCAGATCCACTGTGCTCAGTCCCATATGCTTTCTTTTAAAGAAACAATTTACTGGCAACTCTTCCTGGATTAAGTCAAGAGGATATGCTGAATTCCTCAACAGACAACCTTTTCTCTGCAGGAGAAATGCAAGTCCATGTAGAGTCTCCTCCCTGATAATAAGAAAAATACAAGTTACCCTGAAGGTGGGGGGATTTTTGTGATTCCTAACACAGAACAGATTCCAGTACTCAATAAGATATGAAAATTAGACCCAGTCTGGGCCAAAATGATTCAGAGTTTCCTTGGACTTTGACCATGTGTAGTAGGGACATAGACTTCTGATGTGATCCTGCTGTAAGTCAAAAGTCAAAAGAGGGATCTGAATATGACCATCTGATAATGTCTCTGAGACCCCCCCAATAGAACTGGAGGACAGGAAGGGTGGTGCTCCATCCCTTTCTTTGGACAGAGCCCACTCTCTTCTTGAGTGTATTCCCTCATTCCTTCTGCTATCCTTTCTAATAAACTCATGCCTGCTATTCTGTGTGACATGACTGAAATCTTTCTGGCACAATGATCTTAAGAACTGGTAACTGGGGGCTGCTATAGCTGCTGCCGTGGCCTTGCTTTGGGTTCTAGCTCTGTAACTCCTCAGATGAGGTATCTCAGTGGAACCCCGTGTTTGATGAAATGAGGGAGTACCCAGGACACTGAGAGATTAAGCCCTCACTTCCATCTTTTATCTGGGTATTTTATATTCCCTTTAATACAGGAAAGGTATGTTGGTTGGCTTAAGGATGTCTCCTATCTTTAGTACTTTGATGAACAAGCACTCATCTAGGTCCTGTGTTTACTGATTTTATGAATAAGTACTCATATTCCAAGGGGGAAGAGGAATTTGGGCTGAGGAAAAGAGAGCAAGAAAAATAAAGGGAGAGGGGGAGAAAGAGAAGTAAAAGGGCAATATCACTAACCAGCACTGTGGTGCACACCTCTACTAATCCCAGAGGCTTGGGAGGCTGAGGCAGGAAGATCTTGAGATCAGAGCCAGTTTCAGCAAAAGGGAGGCACTAAACAACTCAGTGAGACCCTGCCTCTAAATAAAATACAAAATAGGCCTGGGGACATGGCTCAGTGGTTAGTGCCCCTGAGTTCAATCCCTGGTACCAAAAAAAAAAAAAAAAAAACTATATCAGTGATTCAAGATCTATAATGCCTTTACTTTAAAAGTAATACTTTTTTTTTTCTTTTAGTTTCAAATGGCTCTGGGCCTTATCTCACATAATTTACATTTTAGCTTAGTTAAGATAGCAGATTTAAAAATGGAAAGATATCAGGGAGATGGGCTGAAAAACCTATAGGTAATTCTGAAATTCAGTGTAAGCAGAGAAGGAAAGGATTTTAAAAGAAATCCACTGAGGTCTTTTGCAACATTTGAGTTCAAAAGATTCTTTTTACACCCCCAGTATAGCATCTATCCTCAACTTATGCCACTTGAATCTACATGGTTTAGCGTTTTCCCAGACACCCAAAATGCAAAGCAATGTAAAAGTAAGGCAGATTGAATGTAACCTCTTCACTAGTTGAAGATGAAGAAAGCAGATGGAGAGATTGTAAGTATAAAAGCAAACATCAAATAAGTTGTTGTCTAGGCAGAAAGGGGAGAAAAATGAGTACACTTACCAAAGTTGATGCCTTTAAACCCCACCTTGGGTGCCAAGAGATATCATGAGAGGTTTCTTTGAAGGTTTTCTGTTGTCTAAGGATTTACTATGGAGAAGGAAGAACTTGACTGGTGACTGGCAAGGATATTAGCATATGTGAAAGAAAGGAATTTTAGTGCAAGCCTGTTAAAGGCTTAGATAGAGGTTTATTTAGGAATGTTCAGAATGCCTCATTGTGATGACAATAATATAAAATATGCCCTAATCTGAATCTTCAGATTCTTTTTAAAATTTTGTTCTAATTAGTTATACAGGGAAGTAGAATGCATTTTGACACATCCTACAGAAATGGAATAGAACTTCTCATTCTTCTGGTTGTACATGATCTAGAGTTACACAGGTCATGTAATCATATTTACACATAGGTAATAATGTCTGATTCATTCTACTATCATTCTTAACCTCCATATCTCCTCCTCTCTGTCCAAACCAAAGTACCTCTATTCTTCCCTAGCTCCCTACTTATTGTGAATTAGCATTCGCATTTCAGAGAAAACATTCAGAATTTGGATCTTTGGGATTGGCTTAATTTGTTCAGCATGATATTCTCCAGCTCTATCCATTTACTAGTAAATGCCATAATTTCATTCTTCTTTAAGGTTGAGTAATATTTCATTGTGTATATATACCACAATTTCTTTATCCATTCATCTATTGAAGGGCACCTAGCTTTGTTTTATAGTTTAGCTATTGCAAAGTAAGTTGCCATAAACATTGATGTGGCTGCGTCACTGTAGTATGCTGATTTTAAGTCCTTTGCATATAAACATAGGAGTGGGATAGCTGGATCAAATGTGTCCCATTATAAGTTTTCTGAGAATTCAAATTCCTTTTTGTTAGCAAAGATTCTTATTTGAATCAGAAACCAAAATCTTCTCAGATTTTTGTTCATAGAAAAAGAGGTAGTTAGTTCCTTAGTAGGATGCTCAAGTAAATGGTCCAATTGTGTTACAGCAATGTCTTTTCACCAAAAGATCTATTTCAAAAGGGAAAGGTGTCAGATAATTTTAAATTTCTGTTTATTTTTTTTAGATTTGTGCATCATAATTACTCATTTTGAGTATTCAGACATGATATGGATGATAGTTTTAAGAAGGCATGGAAGTAGAGGTAGAATTTAAGGGTTTGATCACTGGCCCTTCATTATATTAATTTATCTAAAATGCCTTTGTCTGAAGTACTATGTTAAACTTTTCCAAGCATCACCCATTAACAATGTGGAAAACCCCTCACAACCCCAATTTAGTATTAAAATTATTTCAAGCTGGGGACATTTGAGATTTAACAGATGCAGGTAAACTTTTTAGAGTTTTATCTGATGAAATACAGTAACTTCTGGAAAATGAGGCTACTATAAATTTTCTGGTTGTGGGTAGGATTACTACTAGCAGAAAAACCAAGAGAGAACATACTCATAGTAGTCTTTTTGGATGAGTTTCATGGCTATGAATAAGGAAAGACCAGTTACACCTGAAAAAAAAATTATCACAAATATTCTTCTCCCCCGTTTGTGCTAAAAAAAAAAAAAATCCATTTTTTCTCTAGAATGATATGTTTTTCCCATAACCTTCTCCTAGCCTCCTCTATCCCCTGAAGGAAACTAGGTAAATAAGCCTCTACCTATATTCTCCTACAGAAAGAGATACTTGGCTCTTACATGTGTGTGCCTAACCCTTTTCTCCTACATGTCTGCCTTTTGTCATTTTAATTCATAGGGTAATTTCTATGAATCAAAAGGAGTAAAGGTTTTCCTTCCAGGTAACAAGGATGTTTCTTAGACATCATGCAATTCTTCTCTAGTTGGGGATGAAAAAAAAAATTGTATTCCATGTGAGTTTCTTCTATAGTGAAACAGATAATTTAGACCATATAACAAGCTTTATAACAGAAAAAAAATCTTTGGCAAGATTTTCAGTCTGAAGTGTTGGGAAAAGTGTAGAGCACACACACAAAATGTATTTTTTGTAGTAATAATAGTTAAAATGAAACAATTGAGGAAATATTTTAAAGGTCATTTTTCTTTTTAGCTACATGTTCCTGTAATATAATTAAAAGTCATTATGATTGAATATAAATATTCATTAAAGTCTTGTGTACCTTTTTATCCTATTTTTGAGTCCTTAAATTTGATTCATTTTGCATGACGTTGGAGGGTTCAATCATAGCACTAGGATTCTCTATCAGTTTGTATTAGACTCAGCTGTGAGTAACAGAGACTTTAAAAATAGTATCAAAAGAAACTTAAGTATTCAAAGCAGAGCAGTAAAGTGTAGCTATTATGGTTTTCCTCTTGACTTCTGCTTCTTTGTCTGTAAGGCATGGCCCTTATACTTTAATCTCAGGAAAATATCAGTAGCACCCCTGATACTCAGAAGAAGAGATTTATTTGAAAGCCTCTACATTACTGGCTCACCTTGACATTAACAGTAACACTGATAAACCAGTTCTGGAAGCATTCTGCTATAAGGACTGAAAAACTTGATTTACATTGTGCTTATCACCATCATTAGTATCACAAATTTCAGCTGTGTAGTAGTAACTTTCTTTTCTCTTTTTTCTATTTTTCTTCTATGTTCCTCCCTTCTGATAAAGAAACACAAATCACCTTGAATGGGGAGACTTTTGTAGATCTTTATACTTATCAGATTCCAGAATTCAAAAATATGATAATTTGAAGCAAGACCCCCCCCCCGCAAAAATAAAATAAAATAAAATAAAATTTGTAAGAAGTAGTTTCAATTAGAATTGATCAGTGTGACCAAAGTGACCTAGAGTTGCCTTGGATCTTTAGCATACCATTAGTAAAATCCCCCTTCCATGATGTCAGACCAGTGAAGAGGGGATTTGAAAGTCTGACACTAATTCTGCTGTCATTCGCAAGTCAAGAGGTAGACACCTGACAGGACTCTGGAAACATACCTGGGACTTCCCCCCACCCCCTCAGTAAAACTGGAAGACAGGAGCGGTGCTCTATCTCTCTCCTCTCTGAGAGGACTCACACTCTCCCTTCAGAGTGTTCCCTTTTCCCTTTTCTATTTTGTGAATAAATCCATGCTTGAGTTTATTGTGAATAACATGTACAAAATCCTTCTGGCATGATTGCATGAATCAGTAACCAGGGATCACTTTGGCTGTCTCATCTTTTGCAGCAGACCCTTGCTCTGTAACTCTCCTGATTAAAATTCTTATAGAACAGAGATGTATTTTCTCACCAAATTCAGTTATCTATGTTCAAGAACTTTAAAATATTATCATCCTATCTAGCTAGGGTATAGTTTCTCCCTTCCAAAGCGAATCTTTTCAAAGAACAAGGTTTGGGCATTATTAAATTTATTTTCTCTATTTTTTATTTTAATAATTTCTATTCTTATCTCTTGTATTTCTATCCTTTTTCTTCCTTTGAACATTTTTTATCATCTGTTTCTTTTAATATTTACTCATTTAAAAAACTTAGTTATAGATGGACATAATATCTTTATTTTTATTTCTTTACTTTTATGTGGTGCTGAGGATTGAATCCAGGGCCTCACAAGTGCAAGGCAAACACTCTACCACTGAGCTACAATCCCAGCCCACTATTTACTCATTTTAATGTCTGTGTTTAAACATATAAATTACCCTCTAGTAACATCAACTGTGTTCCACAAGTTTGATTTAAAAATTAGTTTCATTTTCAATAATGTTGCTATGTGTTCTAATCATTTATGTATTTCTTTATATCCACAAATTATTTGAATCTTTAAAATTTATTCATGTACATTTTATTTCATTTTTATGTTATTGTTATATTGGTTCAAAATTTTAAGCCATTATTTAAAATCTTTGTATGATATAGATTCTGCTTATTGAAAGTTGGTATCTAACATAGGCAGGTGTCTAAACCTATGCAGCCTACTTTTATAAATATTCTAATATGCCCTTTATGATTCTTCTGGAAATCCTAATTATATCATGTAATATACGTGCCTAAGAAATATTTTATGTTGGTAATGAGTTACATTAGCATCATTCAAAATCTTCTACTCATGAAACAGAACATATTTTCCACAACGACTTAAATATACCTTGTTTCATATATACATATTCTGAATATTCATACTTCTGAAATCTCTGTCCAGTTTGTTAATTCTGTTTTTCCTTCTGTATGAATATTATACAATGTGAAATATTACTGCTTTAAAATATCTATTGATATATGATAGGGAATACGTACCTTTAGTTAGTTCTTTAGAAGATTTTGGTGCCATTTACCTATAAGATGCATTCATGTGTGCATGTGTATCTATCTAGATACATTGATGCACATAGGTTTAAGTGCTATACTCTTAAAATTATTTGATTGAAATCATAAAATATAAAATTAACTACTAAAATGTAAATTATTCACAATGTTGTAAATCTACTGCTTCATCTATCTAGTTCCAAAATATTTTCAGTATTCCAAAAGAAAACCCTATACACATTAAGCAATTATTTTCTATTCCCTTTCCTCTAGTTCCTAGTGACTACCAATTAGTATTCTGTTCCTAAATATTTACCTATTATGAAAATTTTATATATGTAGAATAATACAATGTGTGATTTTTATGTCTAACTTTTTTCCTTTAGTATATGATTTTCAAGGTTCAACTCTGCTGTGGCATTTACAAGTACTTTGGTCCTTTTCATAACTGAAGAATATTCTGTTATATGTATTAATTATGTTTTAGTTCATTCATTCATCCATTAATGGGCATTTGAGCTATTTATACCTTTTGCTATTATGAACATATGTGTCCATGTGTCTTTTCTGAGTTTTCAGTTTTGGGGGTTGAATTAAACCTACCTGAGGACTGTGTGAAAAATCTGTTTAACTTTTTTTTTAAATGTTTTAATTTGTCTTAATTAGTTATACATGACAGTAGAATGCATTTACATACTTTGATATATCAAACATAAATGGGATATGCTTTCTCACTTTTCTGAGTGTACATGTTGTAGAATTATATTGGTCATGTACTCACATATATACATAGGTAATAATGTCTGTTTCATTCCACTATCTTTTCTATCCCCACACTATCTTTTCTATCTTCCCCTGCCCTCCCATCACTTCCCTCTACCTAAACTAAGGTAAC